GGGGGGGGGGGGGGGGGAGGAAATTGTATAATGTAGTTTTTATATGTGAACTTCGATGTTTACATAAACCGTCTCATTTCTTGCAAAACTACTTAGCGCTTTTGGTTTTCGCTGCTGAAGCAGGCGCATGGAATACTGTAACCGCCCTGTTGCAAATTTTTATTGACAGATTCGCAAATATCAATATCCGATGTACGTGAGGATACTGTATCTGTCTCTGTCTTTCTCCGATGCAGCTAACTGTGGGCCTAGTCTAGTTGTTCATTGTGATAATAATGGCGACAATAATGGTAGTGAGGATAATATGGATCTGCAAACATGCTGCAGCAAAAAAACCTGCCTCTACCAATATTGCGACAAAATGACTTTTTGTTTTTCTAGGTTCCTGACGCAGTATCATAGAAATACATTAAAATTACGAACGATTGAACGTTTTTCGCGTGCTATTTGGACGGTAATATTTGTTTGCGCTTCAATGGGAATTCTCAGGTTTTTTGAACATGGTGCGGACGTATATCAGTTCTGCCTTGGTACGCTTTTCGTTCTCGCGGTTTCCACTCTGAAAACTCAAAAATGTGAAAATCATAAAGTTGTCCTCCTCGAGGCAATTATTGGATAATGCCGATGAATGCATTTTCTTTTTGGTTCAAGTCGCGCCCGAATTAAGTGGCTGAAGCTGTCTGATTTAATGGTCAAAAATTAGTGCCCTGCAGCTTCTGGTTCTCAAGTTATGGACTCAGCCTGTGACACTCTGAAAAGAATTCGAAGACTATCGGTTGCAGTTCCTTGACCTGGACAGGACTTACTCGGAAAGGATACTCAGCTTATTTTCTTTTAATATTGTATTTTGTGATCATGTATTTTCTGATCGATTTTATCAATAAACAGCCTGCAGCACAACCAACTCTGCACTAAGTTAAGAGTTGCAGATACGCAGCCGGGCCCGTACTGGGCTACTCGATGTATGGTCACCGATGGCGCCTTAATAGCTATTATAAACCGCCGTTTCTGGAAAGTAGCTCTGCCATTGGCCGAGTTTACAGCTCAGTTTATATTGCCTGGCCTTCTGCTTGTTGTGCTTCACATCAGTTTCATCCGTGAACCAGTTATTGATTTCGATAACAGACAGTTACGAGTTGCTTGGTCACTTTGATTTCTGAGGCAGACCCAATAACTTGTTTACTTTCTTCGATAATGAATTGGTTCTCTCAAAATCCAGTTTTCAGCAACAGATTTGGACGCAGCCCTCGGGATCAGTCGCGCATATTGATCACTGCTGTCACAATTGCCTTTCTCATTGTACAAATCCCAACAGCTCTATTCACTGTACTCACATTAGCAGTCAATCATTTTAGCTCAAATTTGATCTGTAAGGTTCCTTTTCAAACACTAGAAACAGGGACATAATCAGAGTTTTTCAGGAGACACTGTTGGTATATTGGGTTTTTTCCCTTCTGGGAGGTGAAAGGGTATACTGGAGGAGGGGTAGAAGCAAGGGTAGGGGAGGGGGCAACAAAGGACATCTTGTTAAAACAAATTCTGGTTCAGGTAACTCTTTGATGACCAAAAATGATTAAAATTTCACGACCACATTCTAGAAAGGGGATTTCTTGATTCTTTTTTTTCGACCCTATAGCCTTCGTACAACATACAAATTTTACACATTATGGGACACTTCCTTTATTAAACCAAAAACAATCCGAGGAATAGTGGGCAGTTCTTTAGTATCTAGAGGATTTGATCAAAAGTAAGGCTCCAGACTCGGAAACGTTTTGGAAAACAGTAGAAAAGTGACCAGAAAATTCGACTAGTTCTGTAGTATCAGAACTACGTTGGTTTCACTGGAAATGCCGATCCAACCGCCAGTTCATTCTCTTTAACTTATTAAGACTGAATCACTACCTCCAGTGCGCACTCCTCCCGATCGATGGCCGGCCTTTCCCCCCGTTAGCCCGCTTTTCGCGGTAGTATTACACTAAGTCAGCTGTGAAGGTCTGTAGATCAATAGTGGTCTTAAAGCTGCAGTTCAGAAAGCAACGCAAATAAACTAAAAGCGATTTTAGGCTTGAGTTCCAAGCACACTGAGATGCGATTCACGAGACCTCCATAGCTGACTCTTTCATTGGCAGTATTTCTGGAGCTGTAGATGCCTCTACCAGTCTGAACGCAGAGAATGTTCAAAGTACCATCACAGTATAAAATTTCACACCTGTTATGTAAAGGAGTGGGCACTGTTTGCTGATTCAAACATCCAATGATTATGATACTAAGAGGAACGAAAATGGTTGAGGTTGCATGAGGGTTTTAGGTGCTGGAAACAAATCCATGAATTTAGACAATGAAAATTTTTTCCAAATTTTTCTTCGTGCTCCTTCATTCAACCGACAAACTTATAGTATCGCGCGTTGCCCTAATATTTGCTCATTTCCAACCTCTTCTATCAATGATCACAATTGTGGCAAACAATGGCGCACTGCTTACCGCTTATTACGTTATTGTCAAGGACGATGATATCGATGTTGGCGATTCCCATGCTTCTTTCAGTAGCGAGGACAGCGATACGCTTCTCGGCGTACAGTCCGCCACACACAGGTGAATATTGTTCAAACGCTCACCCAAATGCCGTCACCTCCAAGTTTTTAAAGAACAGTGGATAATAAGTTAATAAAATGATTATTTGTAGCATCTTCCTACACAGACTTTAACGCTTCTGAAGGGACAATTTGTTTTTCAAGCTTTTCCAGCAGAAGAAGATTAGGAGCTGGGGTAAGTTATTAACTAATTAGTTTT